CCCGCATGTTCATCACTGACAACCACTCCAGCAACACCAAGTCAACACAACCAAAACTCCATCACCCCAGCAAAGTGGACACAGCCACCAAAAATCCCTCAATTTACACAAACTTGTCTCAGATTAACACAAACCCATTAACCACCGCAACAAACCAAATAACACCGGAACAAATGATTTTGCACACCTGAAAAATAAAATCTCTTTACTAAACATCCATGAGGATCAAATCTGTGAGAGGATGCTGTGGGAGGGAGGGAGGCAGTAAGGAGAGGGGTGAGATGACTGGATTTGTGGAGGTGCTGTGTGATGGGGGTGAGCTATGAAGGGGTGGTGGCGGTGGGGGCTGCGAAAGGGTGTATTGTGGTAGGAGTCCTGATGGGGTAAGCAGAGGTGACAAGTGGTTGCGAATGGTGTTAATGGTGGGGGATGGGTAGTTTGCTAGGGTGTTTACAATGTTTATGGTGGTGGGGTGGGGTATGTGCTGCAGCAGTGTGTTTCAGATGAAGAGGAGAGAAAAGGGTAGGGGAAGGAGAGAGAAAAAATGTATAACAATTTCAAATAGATCCTCAAGGAATATTAAGGAGTGACTAATTGGGGTGTTAAATGATAGAGTTTAAACACTTGGAGAGTTTGACTAAAAGTCCAATAGTTACTATCTGAGTGATTATTTGGGAAAGATTAGGGGTCAGCATCTCATTCTTATTTACCACTTTAAAATGCTTAACATGTAAACTTAGTACACTTGTTTACCTAATCCATAATCTTGAGGCTTAAGGTTATATGATAATTAATCCACATTTACTTAGTCCAGCATCTTGGTTAAAAATCAAATCTTTAAGAATGTCCTCATCAACAGAAACCATAATTCTTTAATCCATATTCCTATAGAGTTAAGTTCCCACTCAATCAATACTCTTTATAGCATGAAACTCAAAAAGCATGTAATTGATAGTCTACTGATGTAGGAATGTAATTCAGAAATTTGATTTTGCATACTACTTTTTAAGTCTCAACAAGAAGGGGGAAACAAATTTAAGAATTTCCATCTTGGGATTAAAATGTGGCTTACCTCTCAAAACACACCCATACCAAAGGATGAACCTCTGCCCACCTGAACATCACCAATTATAGATGCATCATGGGCCACAAATGCATCCTTATCAAACCAGGAGCTTTGTCAATATGTTCATGAGAGTCCGATGCCTAGACACTTCCATAACCAAAAGCAAGAATCAGTATAAAATGTATAGACCTCACAAATGAAATTGAGGTGCAGTTACAAATAAGCCAAATAAGACTTAATAAGAAACTTCGTGTACAATAGGCAAATATGATCTTGATATATGGCATTTGACAAAATTCCGGCTTAGAATTCATAAGAGAAATATATTTAGAAAAGAAAGGAGTATCAGTTCACATGTATATGAGTTTAGGAAACAAGAACACGAATAACTAAATGGCCAATTGCTCAACAAAAACCAAACACCTCAGAAAAGGGGCCGGCTAGAGGCCAAGCTTCTTCCAGATTTAACTGTTTTATAGTCATACAGAAAAAAAAATAGTCCCTGAGTGTAAACACGGGCATTACAAAATCCCTACTAATCTAAACCATTAGTTACTAATAACAATAATAGAACACCTGTACATGGTTTAGCCAAACTGTCAAAGTTAATAACAACCGTCTAAAATCTTAGTTTTTAATAAAAATGAATCCAAAAATCTCGCATAAAATAGACGAAATAAAGCTACAAAATACTAGGGCATTATCCGCCTTCCCAGGTGGAATTTGAAAACCATCAATACAAACCCCTATTCCATTTCTCTACAATCTCATTTACAATTACCAAACAGTCCACCACCATTCGAGATACATAAATTCCTTTCTATGCGCTAAATCTTACAATTGAAGAAAGAGCCAAAATGAGAACATAAACCATTAAGGAAATGTTTAACTTCTGAGAAACCAAGCAGACCGCTAAACATGGTGTTCGATACATGATCATCCATACCTAATCTAAATCACAATCAACAACAATCAATAAAACAGAAAAATCACATTTTTTAAGTCCCAAACAGCAGCAATCACATTTTAAGTCCCAAACAGCAGGAATCCAAAATTAATTCATGTTACTGATCCGAAAAGAAATTTCAAAACGCAAAAACATGGGGTTCTAAGTCATAAACTACAATAACATGCGAAAGTTTAAGAAAATCGAGAAAAGCTTTAAAGAAATTTTGAGACATACGTGTTCTTGAAAGTAATAATTGCCTTGGAGGCGGCACCAAGGCGATCAAGGGCTTGACCGGTTTCTCGGATCCAAAATCCGACGGAGTAGATTGCTTTCCCACGTTCCCATAGTCTAAGCTCAGACTGATGGTTCTGATTTAGAGAAGAAATGCAGATTAAGGTACTGAATTCAGCTGAGAAACGAAGGCTACGAAATGAGTGGACTATCTCTAAAGCAGGCGGGACTGTGTGTTAGCTCTCCTTCAGAATGACTAGGGAAGGACCTTTCTCTACAGTTACTTTTGTTACAGTTCCTAACATTACTAACCACTTCCTGACACGTATGTTTTTCTTAAGCTATTGTATTGTTTTAATTGTTATTTAAATAGGATAAATTGATGTTTTCAAAGGTATGTGATGTTTTTGAAAACACTCACCTTTAAAATTAGAGGTCTATGATAATAATCCTTCGTTTAAATAAATATAAAATGATTTAATTTAGAAAATAATAAGACTTATTTCACAAATTTCAAGCCATCAGAAATTTAGAATTTATTATATTCTGGTACAAATTTAATTCAGTAGAATTTATTAAGAGGATGTAATTCAGATGTAATTCAGTAGTAATTTATTAAGAGGATGTAATTTAGTATGTAGGCCTTCTCCAACCCACACCATTTGTGTAAAAAACACTAAAATGGTTGGGGTTGTTGTTCCAACCAACGTTAAGCGCCACGCCATTTTGGTGTGGCATTGTAGCACCATTAATTTTTTTTAATTTTTTTATTTTATAAGTTAATTTGAATATTAAATTTTAACCAAAAATCACATTAAATTTGATTATTGTATAATTTAATTTGATTATAATTTATAATAATAAATTCATAATAATGATATAATTCAAAAAATGATGAAAAATTAAAAATAAAACTTATTCAAGCAACTATTAAACTACAGTAACTCAAAATAAAAATTAACACTAATTTAAAAACATTAAATCTAAAAAGTTTGAATGGAAACATATCTTTTTGAGCTTGAATGAATAATATATCTTTTGAAATAAGCTATAAATCTAAAAAGCTTGAATGACAACATCTTTTGAATTACCCACAAATCTAAAAACTTGAATGGACATACATCTTTTTGAATTAGCCACAAATCTCTGATTTCGAAATTTTCTTGTTCGACATAAACAAATCAAGGATATAGAGGCTCACCATGCTTTTCGAAATGCATTAATTGATCATTTGGGAAGAACATACTAATTCGGAAAATTAAATTACTATCAATATGGAATTTACCTTTGTGTTGTTTTTTTTTTTTTTTTTGTATCATTTATATAGATGTAATGTTTTCATATTAAATGTAATGTTATTTGATTAAATAAATGCTTAATTTATTAAATTAGTATAATTTTCAAAATAATTATATTTAATAAAAAATCATTCCCAATATTTAATTAATAATACAAAAATAACGAGTTAAATAGATTAATTGTTGATTATTACATAAAAGAAAAAAAAAAAGAATTTCTAAAAAATATTTAAAGAATATTCTTTTGATGTAATATTGATGTAGTGGGTGGAAATGAAATAGTATTTTACATCAAAATTGCATCAATTTAGTGCAATGGGTTGGAGATAGTCTAAGGACCTAATAATCCACTTATTGGACTATTTTAAAAAAAAAAAAAAAAAAAAAAAAATTGAAACCAAATTTCTCATCTGGTGGTGGGGATTTTATTAAATATCTTTGTAAATTTCAAAAATCCAATAGTGTGATTGGTTTTTGCATTTTCTAGTAATGGGGGGTTGGGGGTTCAGTTGAGAAAAGGGCAGAGTGGCCATTTCGCGATTAACTGCTTTTCACTAACAGACATGGAGAGGAGGCAAGGGTCCTATTTTTAAAAACCAGTGGGGTTTAATAGCTTAAATCATTTGTATTAAGGTGAATTTTCCCTTGAATCAAAAGCCATATATGTTCTATTTATTATTTTTTTAAAGAAAAATTATCTTAAATATCTGTATACGCCAAGTTGTCAATGAAAGTACACATGAATACTAATACCAGAGCAACTTTCAGTTTTTTCATATCTGTTGTCAGTACATTGTGATATACATATAGTTGTATAAATTATTAGCAAACAAAACAAATGATTGGCATCTATCCATATAGAATTTTGGTTCCTTTTCCAATTCCCACCATACAATATGTCAAACGCAAGTAAATAGATGATATTTCTTTCCCAGAATATGCATATCAGTACTTTACAGATAGATGAAGTGCAACCAGGCACTGTTCAAAACACACATAGGGTAGTTGAATGTTACAAAGTATTTTTACAAGCAGCAAATTAAAATTCTGTTTTACATACATGCCCAACACATCACTGCCTCAAGCTCTCCACTATGTACGAGCGTACAGATCCCTGCAACACCAATATATCCATTTAAGCAACAAAAAATAATGCACAACTTCAAACCATACACTATATTAGGACAGAACAAGAGCCAACAGAGTTTATTTTTTAAAAGATAAAATGACTCAATTGAGTATTTGATAGCTTCAACCGCAGCCTCCGCTGGCAGGAAGTCCTCCACATCAACTTTCTTGTTTCTTGTCTGTTATTTTTAACAGTAAAGGATAAACAATGTGAGGAAGGATAATCACATTTATATGCTTTGTAAGAACATTAATGCATACTGAGAAAGCATTGTAAGAACATTAATCCTTCACCATTAAATTCTTGCAAATAATAAAATTACAAGAGAGTTAGGTTCCATAAGTGTAAATGGATACAGTCCTCAAAGAAACGCCGTATTTCGGCTATCTATGTGGAGGTAGCTCCTTGATGTCTTTGTAGTGGCGGAATTCAGGATCATCCGCACACACCGCGATAATCTTATCATCTTTTCACCGCAACAAAGATCTGTAATTGATTTAAAATCTAACTCCAGAATAAAATTGTTTAGCATAAAACTTTCAAGATGGATTTCAAGAGATTAGATTCTCCCATCATCAACTGCAATTGGTACCAATAGGTGGTACGTCCTTGGATAGCCAGTTATGTTTTGACTCTAACAGAATAACAATGACGCGTGGATGTTTAACTCAAACATGATAATGACTTGAGAATTCAATAATTGGAAGGGAAATTAGAATCCTTTTTACCTGATCAATCATTGGCATCAGACCTATGGCACGACAACGGAGGAAGCATCCAGGGAGCACGGGTTCCTAAACAAAAATATCCAGGAACTTGTTAGGTAATTTGATTACTGAAACTTGAAGATCTGATGTTATGTTAAAAAGGCTTCTACCTGCATCAGTATGAGGACATCCATCGGGTCACTATCCTCACAAATTGTTCTTGGGATGAAACCATAGTTGTGAGGATACACAACTGATGAGTAAAGGATGCGATCAACCTGTTATTAAGAACTTCAATCATCTTTTACTTTCTTTGTGTAATATTGACATGCAACATGCATAAATTAAACATAAATAAAACACCAGCACCCTAGCAATAGCAGGAAAGATTGATCTATCGGAAACAGCAGATTTTTCATGGTCATTTTGTATATTATAAATTTCAGTAGCAATTGCATCAATGTTACCATTCAATATATAAAGTTATGTCCTTTGATGCTTCTATTGTTATTATAAAAATCATCAGCATCATCATTTAGTTATTCACTGACAAGTGGCATGACCGCATGAAGATTTAAAATGAAGATAAATAAAAACTCGAATGCTTTTGTTTATTTGTCAAACACTGTAGTATGGTACAAAAGAACTCCTGATACGTTTCTGCAATATCTGAAATTTCACAAAAAATTCATTTACCAGTATACCGAGTCTGTTAATTAGATGTTTGTTCATATTATTGACTACTAACTAAAGAGTCTAACATCATAAACTGAATCAAAGAATTATATAACCTTGTCGCCAGAAAGAATGCATTAAATTTTAACAGCAATATTTTAAATCTAATTCAAGGGTTCGAGGAAAATTAAGAAAAGAAGAAGAAGAGAATTTCACTTTTATAAGACCACTAGTCTTGTCGAGTTCGTATTTCACTTTACTCCCCTTGCCAATCTCTACGACCTGCAACAGAGATTCATATTATGATATGGAAGCATGAATTATTTTTGGAGAAAAACCTGCGTCACTGACAAGACCAACTTTATATGAAACAACTCCAAAGCTAAGAATCAGCAAGCTACTTCAAGTGAAATTTTGGGGAAATATAACCTCACAGATGTCACCATAACCCTTTTCTCCACATATTCATTGCAAAATGCAGCCGCACTGGGATACTATCTTGAGAAAAGTACTTTCTCTTCCACCAAATTTATATGTAAATAAAAGCAGTCAAATTTCAATATTTTCCCCTAGATTGAAACTCTACAGAAGCCACATCTGATGGCTCCTGGGTCCCAAATTAATATATTATTTTTTATTTTAATGTTCTTCCAAAAGTTCAGAGTAACGGTGATTAAATAAAATAAAATACTTACACAGTTACAAATTAAGGGCGCCCCTGGTCCTGCAAATATTAAAACATAAATAAAAGTCATCACCCATAGATGTCTGCAAGATGAGAAATGTTTGACAGTTCAAGCAAGACCTTAGCATATAGCTTGTAAGCTTGAAAATTGAAAGCTACAACTACGAGAGTTGCCTTAGCATATATATGTATATGTATGGAGACAAATATTCTCTTCCATATAAAATCAAACATGTACCTATTTCTAGGTCGTGCCAGGGATGAGCCGCTACGGATCTTCGTGACATTGAAGAGAGAATCCTCTCGTTCAAAGTAACTGGAGTAGTCGAACACTTCTCTCCACTCTTTGAAGACATATTAAGCGAACTAAAAGCACTTCACTCAGCCAACAAAAAAGAAATGAAAAAAAAAAAAAAAAAAAAAACAAATTCACAATCATGGCCTAATTAGTTCATATAAAACAAGGCAGAGAGCAAGAGAAGTAAGAGTATTGAACGAGAAAACATGTTAAATTGAATATGGAAAAATAAAAGTAAACTTAAAACACTATTGCAAATCCTGCCGGTGTCAACCAGATACAAGATAATAAATGAACGGTCACTCATACAGGAAAGAAAGAAAACTTTTATACACAGACAGTTAACAGATTCTCCAAATTCATAGCAAATTAGATTACAACACCAGGCTGGTATAAGTCTGACCAAAATAGACAAACAAATATATCTGACATTATAGAAGTTTACAGGTAACACGTCACACGTAGTATGGAGAGCAAAAAATGGTAAGAACATGCACTATTGCTAAATCAACACTATCATATATTTCTCTTTAAATGAAAGACTACCGAAAACCATAAAGAAGGCTAAAAAATACAAAAAAACAAATAAAACTAAGAAATATATAAAATGAAACTATGAATTCAAACGGCGATACAAAACACTGATCCTTTGATAAGCTAAAGAGAAACCCCCATGCATATATATATATCATACAAATTGTAAAATGGAGAACAAAAATTGCACAAATGGCATATGGGTATGAATGAAAATTAATCTTACATCGTAATCACTATGAGAAGGAAAGACATTAGATAAGACCTTAAAACAATGTATTCAATTGGGATTGCCATGACTACTAATAAGATGATATCAAGGAATAATGGAAATGGAAACTCACAACTCAACACTCTAAACAACAACAGCGGTGAAGCTCTAGCTTTATAGCCGGTTTCCACTCTAAGCTTTTCGAGCGTGCTTGCAACTTTGCACAGAAATGGAGAGACGAAGTGAAAACTCAGCCAACTGTGTTTTGCTAATTTAAGGAAGGTGGGAGAAGACGCTGGAGTCGCTTTTTGGACCATGGGCATATTTCAGCGGCCAGTCTACGCTGAGTTTTCACCGTTGGATTTAAATAAGTTGATCAGACGGTTTTAAATATGGATAATGTGTGTGATGTCTCAATTTATTTTGAATAATCTTATACGTATAAACTTTTTATATAAACCCATCCATAAAAAATATATATTTTAATTTAAAAAATAAATTAAACTAATTAAAGTAGAGTTATTATATCAATTCATAAAAATAATTTCTATAATTAATTTATCTATGTAACATTACTCATTTATTTACTTTTAAAAATAATTTCTATAATTAATTATAATAATTGCAGTCTAATTGTTCAACGGTAGTCAAACTATACACGTGGGTAAAACTGGACTTTATTAATTTAATAAGACAATCAAAATTCTTAATTGTATTAATTAGGAGCTTGACTTCTGAATTCTGATGATTGGTCCACGAAGAAAGTAGATAATGCTAACGTCAATCAGATGGATAATACACGTTTTTTATTTTAAAATAATAATAATATTGTAATCTCGTAAAGTACACATGATATGACTTGAGAAGTATGTTTCTATAAAAATAAAAGAAAAGAATCGAATTTGTGCTGTAAAGAACTAAAAGAAATTGATAAAGTATTTTGGCAATAACTCTTTGAAGGAAAACAAAAATAATTTTATTTATATTTTAATGAAAGACTATTCATTTTAAATAAGATATCAATGATTGGTAATAATATATAGGACTAGATTGTTGAGAAGAATACTGATTGAATTTATTTAATTTTGTCTAAATTTAACACTTATACATACTTCAATTAATTTTTTTAGATCCTGAAACTATCGATAGGGTGAAAGCTTAATGGTTACCTTTATTAGTAATCAATGAATGACTCAAAACTTAAGATTTCTTGAATAATATATCAAATAGTCCATATCGAATTATTCGACCATCAAAGGTAACTCAAATGGAGTGATTTTATTTATGCCTACTCTAATATGTGGTGCTTAATGTCCATTATTGTAGCCACTTTGGCTGGTTGCTTTCCATACAAAAGAGTGGGAAAGAGTATCTGTATGATAATTGGTTGTTTGTCTTTTGAAAATTGAAATCGAATTGATAATTTAGGGGGAAATTTTGTGGTCAGAATCAATTTGACTTCAATAACTTTTGGCTTATTCAATGCACTCAACCAATTTCACAACCTGTGATGTCATAACATAACATGAGAATAAAATTCTCTACCATCCATTATATTTATATCCACCAAACTTTACAATGAATATTCCAAATACTAATAATATGCCTCTTACCATATGATTTCTAAATCTAATTTCATTTAATTTGTAGACACTAGACTTTGCCTAACTATGTTTTCATTTGTACAACATATTTATTTATATCAAAGTTTTTATTATTGTCATTTTAATCTTTAATCAAACAATTTATCTTTTGTTTTTATCTTATTTATTTATACTAACCACTTATACATTATTGGTGGCCTTTTTGTGTTTATAAAAAGTTAACAAAAATAATAAAAATTACAACGAAATGGATTTTGAATATGTTATGCCTAAAAAGTAACACTAATGTCAGATCAATAAGTACCTAGAAGACAAATTGTACTTCCTGTCAAGCTCATACCGCCTCAAAGATATCTTATACCAACCCGATCTCATTTTAAGAGAAGAACGGATGAGAACCTTCCATGTATCAAGGCAACTAACAAAACACTAATTACATTAACCTCAAAGGTGTATAAATTGGCACTTCTCTTCTCGAAAATGGAGGTTGAGTATATGAGAGCTAGACATAGATTTGAGTTCCATTATTTCTCTTTGTAAACAAAGTTTTTCTCCATCTTTATATGCCTTACGGGCAATATTATAGAAATAGTAAGAGAATAATACAATAACAATAGATGTAGGATTCACTTTAAGCATCCGAACCACTTTAAAAACCTTTTTTGCCAATCTTCTATTTATGTTTCTGCAACATATATATTCTCAATACTATATTCAAATCTCATGGATTCATCACGTGTAATTTCTAAGACTCTCTTAACACTTTGCACGTGCGAGTCGTTGGTGTCCAAAATCAAGCATTAATAGAATAAATAAGGGGTCCAATATTTGCTTGAACCTAATGGTGGATGGTTGCACCCTTTTTGTTGAACTTCTATCGTGCTTCCTTAGTAACATCGAGCCAACCTGCAACATTCTTACAAAAGCCGACTCCAAGGAGCATCTTGTTGTAGTCTTGTCATCACTAAAATCAAAACAAAGAAGACCAAGGGTAAATTTTGTGGAGAAAATGTGTAAGAGCCAAACATGAAACTAGTTAGTGAAAACATGAATGTTTAAGAAATATTCTAGATGATTAGAATAATGAAATCGAAGCCAAAGAATTTTATAGAATTAAGATTTCGAAAATGCATAAAATTTAAGGAAAATAGTGTTTTGGTCTAACGTAGATCATGTCAGACATTTTCAGGGAAATTTATAGAGTTTGCAGGATTTTGTCTTTTGACTTAAATTTTGGATGTTAAAAGATGTATTATGACCAGAAAAAGCTACTCAAAGGATTTATACATAGAATAATGAATAATTAAATTATTGATAAATAGGAGAAGATATTTATTTATATAAGAATATAAATCTGTTAAAATATTTACTTGGAAAATAATGAGGACTTAAATAAGTCTAGCTATCATTTAGGAAAAATATTTATTAAATGAACCGGCATTACACCATGAGATTGAAAGCTACCTATCACTAATACGCCATGAAGGAGAAAAAGAAAATGGAGAAATGTTTTGTATGTGGATTCTGAATGTTCATCCATTATTTGCCATTAATATAGAATGTTTACTTTTTTCTTTGGCTTATTTTGTTAAGTGGTCAAGTAAAAAGGATTTAATGTTGATTCGATCCAGCGATTTGATTTGTTGATTTAGTGGACAATTTTTATCCTAATGTGCTAAAGTTTATTAATTTCTTTATTCTTTTTCTAAAAATCTTTTAACTGTTGCAAATTGTGACAATTATTAAAATTTGGAGAGCTAAAAGATTATGTGTGGGTACAAATATAGGATATTTGGTCGGTTTATTATTTTGGTTATGATTTTTGATATTTTTAGAGTTGGGTGGGAATAACGAGATAGAATTTAAAAATTAACAAAAACACTCACTCGGTTTGTTAAATAACTAAACACCCCTGTAATAAAAATATTAAAATTTACAAAAATACCCTCACTTACCCATAAAATTCCACAGCCGGCCACCACCGTCGGAGGGTGGCCGAAGTCACCGTATCAGCGGACAACCGACTGAATCTGGCTGGTCGTGCGCCAAGATGACATTTTCTAGCCATATCTATTGTGGATCTGTGCGAAAAAGGCCAGATCTGGCCATGTTTGGTTATCAATGACGGCCAAAGATATGGCCGTCGTTGACGACTAGTTACTGCCAAAGATCTGGTCGTCAACGGTCAGATTTTTGGCTTTGGATCTGGTCGGAAAATGATAGATCGATGCACTACCGGCAAGATTTAGTTGGTAGTGCGCCATTATACTAGATTTCAACCACCTTCCAGTGGTGATTGCCAGAATCTGATAAATGTGGGTTAGTGAGGGTGTTTTTATTAATTTTTAAACTTTTTTTCCTGGAGGTGTTTAATTAAATTAATAAACTTAGAGTCTACAAATAATTTAATAAAATATAATAGTATTTCCTAAATAATGAAAGAAACAGGTATTTTGATAATATGATTGTGAATAAGGTAGAACATAATTAACCAAACGACCCTTAACAGATAACTGCAGCCGCAAAGAGGACCATCCCCTGCATTCGGTTGCATTGCAGATTCATCATCAATCAAATTTTACATCTTAAAGATTCCAGTTGTTTGGAAATTCAAACCCTGTGAGATCTCGTAACATACAAGTGCGTTGCGCACATTATGTACTCATACTGTTTTCTCTTTGTTGACACAGGGAGGGAGACGTCCATATCTTTGTTAAACCCTGAAAAACTCAGGGCCTCTAATTGTATCTTTCTGAAATATAGTAACAGCAACTCAATAAAAACCTATTGATACGTAACAAGATGATAGCAACCTTTCTCCAGTCCCATGTGAATCACATATACTGACGATTAGCCGCACCCTTTCTGTATACGCTCATGAATTTGGCCACAAATTCTGGAAAAAAAAAAAAATAATAATAGTAATTTCTTGTTTCAAAAGTCGTTTGTACAAATATGTGCGAGGGAAAAGAATAAAAAGGTAAAGTTAGCTAATAAATGATGAATTACCTTCTAATTTCAGTAAAGCACTTGTTCCTGTTGGGAGCCTCTTATCCTGTTAATGAAGACCCTTTAATTACTTTCACCTTGTCCGGAAGACAAGATAACTAAGCAAAGGAAGAACAAAACTTACATAATAAGCATGCCAGTAATATATTTCCCTTTTTAAGCTACCTTCAACACCCTTAAGGAACTCTTCTACGAGCTTCTGTATGTTGTAAACGTAAGTCTATTAGAAAAGTAATTTTTTTTTTGGAATGATTAACTAAATTGAACCAAGGCATCAGAAGTATAACCAAAAGAATTAGTTTGGGATGAACAAAATCCACAAGAAGCTTCTGAATCTTTCCCCGCACCAAGAATAATCTGAAAAATTCATTAATGTGACATGTCATGCTTGGTAACTATTAACTAAGTTCTTCATGTTGTATATTCTGATGTTAAAGAATGTTTCTTCCAAGGCAACAGACTTTTACCTTTTAGGTGATGGATCGGCCAAAATTTCTGCGCCCAGTTCTATCAAGACTTCTTCCCATCCGAGTGCAATTGGTTGGTCATCAGCAAAAGGATAACTTCATGGTCACAGCACCTCATGTAAGTACAACTACAATGATTTACATGGATAGTTCTTACTTGTGTATAATTTATTGAGATTTCAAGTTCTTACTTGTGTGCTTTGCATGCTTCGAGAGCCATTATAGCTTTTCTCAAGTTCTGTTTTGATTTGGTAGCAATCTTAGCAGCAAAGCTCATGGATAGTTCAAAGTCCTCTTTCTTTGCTATCTGAATGAGAATCTCCATTATCTGCAAATCAGAGGCGAAATAGCAGAGAATCATAGCTTAGAAACTAAAGCATAACATGGAAACAATTTTTTTTTTTTTTTTTTTTTTTTTTAAATTCAGGAAACTTTGGCATAATATGGTTCTGGAGGTCTCTTGGAGGCAAAATTGAGGCAACAAAGACACTTTTTCACAACGAATCACACGTTATGATGAGGGAAAACTCTATAGAGCTGTAATAGGATTGATAACAGTTTCATGAGGCATGAACAATCTGGTTTGTAGTTATGATTATTCTATAATGCACAGAGAAAAATGAACCACATTATCAATGACATGGTATCATATTCAATTATATTCATTCAAGCAATGTGTTCCATACATAATCAATTGGACACTTACTTCATGTGTTACAGGCGCATCGACCTTGATAACATTGCAGCGGTTCTTCACCGATTCTATAATGTCTACATCGTCCTCACAGCAGAGTATGAGTTTACAAGCATCCGAGTAACAGTCCATAATCCATTTGATCAAATGTTGGATACTCTCTCCTGCTTGGTCAACTTCATAAAGAACTATTGCTGAAATTAAGATGGAAACTGTTTAGTTTTGGTTGGAAGGTCTGGATATATAAAGTGGTTCATGCATATACTAAACATTCAGACCTTTGTAATCAGTCTTGAAATTTACATTGCTGACTTCTGGGATGGTATCATAGTGATTTCTTATTTCTTTGACTAAACCCATCAGTGCAGATTTAGCATTTGGTTCCAAGTTAACATTGAGCTCAACGTGGTGAGCGCTGGATGTTACTGGGACGAATACTTGCATAGGCCTTTTGTCCTGTCAAGATCCAAACACAATGATATTGGATGAGCCATATTCAATTATATTTACATCACTGCAAACCTTGAAAAGAGTACTTTTGGAGAACTAATAATATTTACAGAATTGGGGAGAGGTTAATTGTTTTTGAAGGTTGATAATTTGACATTAAGAATTAAAAATCTTAAAAGAATTGGAGAAAAGTATACCTGAGCTGGAAAGCATTTTAAATCATGAGATATCTACATACAAAACAGAGAGAAATGACAAGGTCAGGTTAGGCATTCAATCACCATATATGCATGATGTTTCTGCAAGTAACAAAGGAACATACATTCCAGCAAGTATCACCATATATTTCTCGTAGCAGAGCCATCGCTAGTGCTCTTTTCCCAGAACCAGATGGTCCCTTGAACAAGATATGGGGATAGTTGTCTTCAGAAACCTATATATAGTGTACAAGGATTGAAGATTGCCAGTAATTAAAACATATTAATATGAAAACTAATAATAATACTAATGAAGTGATTTTACATATCCACAAGCACATAGATCAACTTATTAGGTAAGAGTAGTAGTAAATTAGTAAAGAGTTTGCCTTCCTAAAATAACTTACAAGTTGCTGGAGAAGCTGAGCTTCATGTTTGTGGCAAGTGAATCCATTCAACGAGTTAGGTTGATGCTTATCAACCCAAAATTGTCTCAGATTTTCAACCACAATTGCCTTCTCAATGAAGGAAGCTTCATCAAATGCTCGTTTAGGTGGTGATCTGGATTTTGATCTCCTGCAAGTTCCCTTCCTCATACAAGAAAACCATGCATCTGATTGGCTCTTCCGCCTGTTAGCCGCAAACTTTTTCGAGCTTCCGGTTGATTTACCACTTGCATCACTTACCTTACTAGTTTCCGAGCTAAGCTTACCACTGCTCTGTCTGCTAACAGCAGAGTTGGTTGTCAGGGTTACCCGAGAAAATCCTGAACTTGCTGAAGCTTTCTGGGGGTGATGATCAATACTACCATTTGTTCTACCATGTTGATGACAAAATGGATCTCTTTGTGAAAATACTGTTGGCCTTGGATACAAATCGTGTTGGACTTGGACTTGATCACCACCATTCTTTGCAAAGACTTCACGAGAAAAGAATATATCCCCAGGTGAAATCGACTCAGTGCTCTCAAAATTTAGCGTGTTATTTCTAGGACTTTTAGAAATCTTCACAAGTGCAACCATTTCATTGAGTTCACCAACAGATGTTGCTTTCACTTGGGGAACTGTCTCTCTTTGTTTCCGAATCATGTTCCTTGACAATGGTGATAATATTCCGTGATCTCTTTGCTCTACATGGCCGTGATTGTTTTTTTGTTGATCTTTTTGTCTCGTTCTTAGTCTTGGTGCAGTCTTTGATCGACGACTATAAGCTGTAACCTCAGGAAGCTGAGAGTAGTAATCTCCTTTTTCATCTCTAGTTAGTGTTCTTCGGCTTTGATTTTTGTTTGCACCTACAGTCTCATTATCTTCAACCATGTTACTACTCAAACCAAGCTCCTCTCTCCCAAGTTTATAAGGTGAAACTTGTCTTCGACGCTCAGATTTCGAGAGGGGACTGATATTTCGACGACTCGAAATTGGTGAAAAATAATGGTTATCATCAATTCTTGTCTTGTAGGGTGACTTGCTGCTGTGTCTCCTGTTCAGCGAGCTAACTTTAGGAGAAGAACCAGACCCATTATTGTTCTCAATCTTGGAAGCATGTCTCCGGTGGTGTCTCAAAGGACTTGTGGTGGTGTTGCTTCTTGGTAAATCCGTCTCTATTTTCGGCACTTGATAAGCCAATACTTCTTTCTTTGGATAGTGATCACGACTTTCTTGCCAATCGGTCTCCGTATCAGAGGGTTCATATCCGCTTCTTATCTGTTTTAATGAAATGGAAGACTGAGCCTGAGAAGCCCTGATATATCTTGATGAACTCTCCATTGATATTTTTTCTGCAAGTAAAGCCGCAGAAGAAAAAACAATCTAACCTCAGCAGAAATGAAGCCAGCTAGCAACTAAATTAGATGCTTAAATTGAATAATGCGATGGTCACAAAGCAGACTCATCGGCAAGGACAATGTTTATTTGGTGTCGGCATATAGAGGTTTTATCCACCAAATTTACAGCATACAAGAAGTACTAGTATATATATTTGGTTTCCTGCAATTTCTAAGCTCACCATCGAGGATGTTTTGTCTTTTGTCATCTCTCTGTCTCTTATGTCTCAACCTACTTACAAGGAATGTTGAATCTCTCTGGCATGTCACTGTATAACAGCTTAATCTTCACTGTTTTCTTATAATATTTCTTTTTCTGCAAGAACATATAATTTAAGAAGAAATGACATCAATGGACCTCATCAGATATACAATATTGGCCCCTTTAATTGAGGTAAACAAGTAATGCGATGGACACCGCTGATGAAGCGATATATATTGGCCACATACACATGAATAAACCATGTCTTTTCTTGTCAATTATGATTGTACCCAGGGATGAACTGAATAATAATTGTAATTGATCAATACAAATATGCAGTATTACCCTAAAATGTTAGGTGGTCAAACATATGCTCCAAACCCATCTATAACTAAATTTGAATAGTGTTGAGGCTCATTCTAAGATAATGATCTTATTTTACCAATTTTTAATTTGTTGTCTAATTATATACGTACTATGTGATTTCTAAATAATTGAATAATTTGTTTATGAGATATTTGTTCTATTCGTTACTGCTACAATGAGTCTGTGGAGCTGTGATGTTTCTGTATTTTGTCAAAAATGCGAGTATGAATAGTGTTATTGATTCTTTGTCTTTCATGGCATAAGTTATTAGAATCTTTATAATGTTTTTATTTCAAAATTGATACCGAATTCCAGTTCTCGTACTTTTATTGTTTTTCTATTATAATCAGTTAAACGTTCTGTGATTGGTTTGGGAGGTTCTACATGCATCCGGGAAGTAGCTGTGCAGCCTGGACGTTTGGTTAATCCTGGTCTATCATCTCCATGGTTCCATTCCCTTTCCATGGGATAAATGCTTGCCAGGTGAATGCATCGGCACACATGATCAATGTCATTTTCAATGCGCCAACAGGCTTTAAGTAGTGCTCCCCAAATGACAGCATTTGCTCTTAAATCAGCCAATTAACTTTTTTCAGCTTCCATGCTGTATCATTGGTTTCAAGTTTATGTTTTCTCTCCATGCTCACAGGCACAGACAAAGATTTTCCCTCAACTACTAGTCCTGCATAGAAACAAGCAGTCAAATTGTTGTGAAAATGATCAGGTTTGGCAACGGAGAGCTTCTCTATCTTGTCCATGAAGACACACCTTTCTTATCTATTATTTGGACAGTTTGATTTATGATTAGTCATCAAATTAACATTGAAAAGCAGATTATAATTGACTGTTGATTACATAATCTGAGCATCCAATTTCATGAAACACTGATTTTTTTTTTTTTTTATGCAATCATTGAGGCACATAATTAATTAGTTAGTATGAGAAAATATGATCTACATTTATGTTTGCTCAAACCAAATACAAAAATGACTAGGTGCAGAAGAACAGCCCATAGAATGATGACTCCGCTTTCCTATTAAACTTTTCTCTCACACTTTTAGCTGGCCCTGCCATGACAAATGGCCAAAGCATATCCCAATGAAAGCTCCAATCTGATAGACCTCCCATTAAACATGTTTACCAATACAAAGGGCATAAGGGACAATCGGGAATGTGAGGGCTTTGCTGTTGGTTGTTAGGGGAATTAGTTACAATCACGTGTGAGTAGGGAATCAAGTTGTTATTTGTGTGAGTGGAGAATCAGGTTGATTAGCATAGAGAATGGGTAGTCTGGAAGTTAGTATAAATAAAGGAGGTCAGTGTTGGTGAAAAAGGGAGGTCAAAATAGTGTCATTGTGGGAGGTCCCCAGCTCCTCGAATTGCTGGGATCTATCTGTTGAGTTTATCAATTGTTTTGGTTGTTCTTTGTTTTTCTCCATTAATATACTTGGTTGAGGCTTGTTTGAGGTGAACATATTCTGTTATCTTGTACTGTTTGGCTATTGTTTGTTAGCAGTGCAGGGAGTCTCATCACAATCAAACACTTCAAAACAAAGAATTTACAGTCGTGTTACAAGTAAAATCTCAAGGTGGATGGAAGCGGTAAAGCTATACATGACTTGCTTAAAGAGTTTGGAGAGATGCTTCCAGTATTACAGTTGATAACCAATCCATTAAAGCCTTATTGACCAGCTCTGGGACTTCATCGTGTGGGCAGTGTCCAGCCTGTAAGTTTACAATAGACGTTTTTGGATAAAATTCTTTGATTCGGATAGCCTTAGCAGGACCTACCCATGGATCTAAGTCACCCCAGACCAACAACAGTGGGCAAGATAACTTGCTTAAAACACTATCTAGAGTGTACTTGCTTTGATTCAACATGAACCTTGTCATTAATCTGTTGACAATAAGCACAAGAAGATAATAAAAAATATGTTACAGAAACAAATTAAAAAGAAAGTGCTCTTTAGAACACACTGTTAATGGCTAATTTTTAAACTTTTATCATTAGCATATATAGACAGCCCAGTTCCAATGCGAAAGAGACTGAAGTGTGGTCCAGATAAGTGTTCAGCATTCAACTACACATCTTGAACCAAATGTTGAGGTTCTCAGCTGGGACTAAATTGGGGAACTAACATGCATACCTGTAGTAAACTTCTCCAGCATTGGGGTCAGCTGCAGGCCTTGTTATTGACTCCACCAGATAATCATCCACATTAGAGGCATTTATATATACCTATATTAGCCAAAAACAAATATGCCTTTACAATGTGCACACTAGCCAAAATTGATTATGAATCCATTGCAAATATCATGAGTTAAATATCTCAATAGAGAAGAATGTTAGTTGCAACATGATGCAAGATTGGGAGATGCAGCTCTCTTCTTGTGACACTAGAAAATTAAGAGGTTAAATGCACACCATTTCCACTTTTTGCAATGAGGTTAAACTCCCAAATAGAATCTAGAGACCAATAACCCAATTGAATAATCACAAACATAAGTTTGATTCCATTTAAAGTTTAGAAGAAAGAGTAGAGATAACAGCAGAATATTTCACATAAAATGAAAGAAAGAATCTTCAAGATCTCCAATCAGGTTGGATTCTACATTAATCAACAGAATTTAAGCCAAGATGGTGGGAAATGATTTTGGGGGCAGGGAAAGTGGGTGATTAAGGAAAAATAATCACAGCAAATCCTTTCATTATCATACAAGTACATTTCACAAGCCATGCATCATACTAGAACGAAAAATGAGCACAAATCCCACATATATGACAGATGCTGTGCACAGAAATGATTCTTAATTTAGCTTCAGTTCCCATTATGCTTCAAAAGCAGAGGCCTTGTAAAATTTGGTAGCAAGTGACTTACACTCTTTAGGACAGATTTAATGCGGGCTGGTTGTTTGGCTTGCCAAAACAAAAATCCAAGAACTACACGCTGAAAAATTTCCTTCAAACGCTTAAGGAAAATTTTCTGAAAGGTAGTTTCTTCAGACTGGTTGGTTCCTTTAGTTGCATCTCCAAACTGTCCAGCAGAATTTAGAAGAGCAACACCAGCAACTTGCTCAGGTAATCCTGCTGCAGCAACTAAGGCAGTAAACCCTCCAAGGCTGAAATATTATTATGAATCATGTTATATATCATGTTACATCTGAAAAAGACAAATTAACAAAACCACACTCACTATGGTAAGAAATTGGCAACATAGAAATGGGAGATTTTTGTTTCTCCACACTACTATAGAAAGGGGAGATTGATATCTCACACATTATTCATTTTCCAATAAAAGCAAAGATAGGTGATAAATATGGTTTACACTGGAGAATAGAGAAACTAGCTCCCCTACTTTACAATGCAGAAAGAACAAATAGATCATAGAATATCTTAATTATACTTACTATGTGATTGTGTAGATATCCAAATGTATTTACCTTTTCAACTCACACAAAAGTAACCAGTTTAAACCCAAGGACTTCACAAGTGAGTTGTAATTATAGGCAACCAAAACAAAAATTTCCACCCATGACCTAAAAAGGCAATCCAATGCAATGCATATAGTGGAGTGTATTATTAAGAGATGCAATAGCTTGAACTGCATACACCCAACGACAAGGCTAATATGCTCAATCTTTAATCTAACTGAAAGTACGGACAAGAAGTGACATGGAAGACAAAGATTGCAATTGTGCATTATCAACCTTTGGGTAGGTCATTTATTAGAATGAAACAGGTCATCACAGATGCTCTGAATTCTGCAAGAGTAAAATTTAATTAACGACACGATAAACAAGATTATATAACATTTCTACATTCAAGAAACCAATTGACACATTTACCAGACCATGCTCTAGGCAAGGAAACCAATAAAACCCTAATAAGATAGACAAAATCATTCAAAGACTATTCATGCAGTCATGTTCATAGATGTCTACCGGCAATTGAAACTGTCATGTATAAAAGAAAGTCCTAATATAAAGGATCCATTGAACAGTAAAGTTTGTTCCTTAATACAGGCAAGGTTGAGAAACAACTTATCTGTCAAAAGTTGCAAGCACAAAACCATGAGAATTGTAAACTTTGTCAAACGATAAAATTTGTTTACCTGTTTCCTACCACAACTGCTGGCTCTTTCACTATTTCTTTCAAGAAATCCACAACTTGATCCCTCCATACCATGGCATCATACTCTATAATAGCTTTCTCACTCCACCCAAACCCCAGCAAGTCTATGGCATAGACTTTATACCTTTTAGCCAACTCAGGAATGTTGTACCTACACAAGGGGAGAGAGAGAGAGAGAGAGAGAAGACTTTTATCATAATCAATATACAAGAAAAGTAAACCAAACATTATGTCATTAAGATGAAAAGCTAACAACCAAAAAAAAACCATCTCCCACATGATATTAGAGGCTGTTTACTACTTCAGGTTTCAATTGTTTCATGTTCAGCCATAACAATAGGTTAACTTAGATCGTCAACCCAAAACTACAATAATTCATATGCTGCAGTTGCGTAATCTCCTAGTTTCATGAATTTTGCAGCAAGCGGACAATTATCTGGTCTAAAGCCTTTAGAATGAAGTAGTATCAATTTGAAAAGTGGTACAAGAGAGCAAACCTCCAATGAAATGCAGAAGCACCAAATCCATGAATAAGAACAATTGGAAATCCTTCTCCTTGAACCACATAATGTATTTTGTGACCCTTCCATGTCCAATAATTGTAACCCTCTGGCTTGTATGGTAATCTCTCCAACCCTAACAGATAATAAAAAAAAATTAATTTAAAAAAAAAAAAAAGAAAACTCAACCTCAACTCCCAAAGAAAAAAGAAAAAAAGAAAAAAAAAGAAAGAAAACCATCAATCAAGTCGTTTCAACTGAAGATAACAAAATTGACCTTGACCGGGTTCGGTAACCAAGAAGATTCCTGATCGAAACCCCAGAAGCTACAATTCCTTTAAAGGCAAAACCCCTCCTCTTATTTCGCATTTGCTTCCTTCATGTACAATACAGACAGTACACACAAGTCAACAAGCACTTTATAACTTACTGCAACCATGGAACATAAAACAGAAGAGTTTTAGCTTACTGGCTGATATATTCTCGCAGGTGCAAAGAACCATGAGATACTGGATTTACGAATTCTCTTCTAAGTGAAGGTGATCAGCGAACGAACAAGACTTGTGAAGTTTAAAGAAGCCTAAAGCGCTAGAGAATTGTTATGGATTCAAATTTGCAAATGGCGAGAGTAAATTTGTTCTTAGGCTGTTTTTATGTGACTGGTGTAGGTTTAGAGTTGTGGCGAACTCTTAGCCAGGCACAGCGACATAGATTTTGAGAATCTGTTTGTTTTTTCCCGGGAAATTTCTTAATTCAACTGATTTCATTTCATTACCGATAACGATATTTTAAAAAGAACATTAAAACTTGCGTTAAAAATTTTATGATGCAATACGAACGATTTATAAGATTTATCATTAATTGAAATTGGAGAGAAGGTATTTACATTGATAGAAGTGAATTTATAATGTTACGGGGCTGTACCTGCTTAAACTGTAATAACCCCTAATACGAGTATGTTTAATGAAAATATGGAATTTTATTTGTTCAATAAACAATCTGAGAGACTGAGCAACCCACATGCTCAAACTCAAAATGTCAAAGTTAATCCTTTAACTTTAAGGGATTGGTTGGTGGTCAAATGTTTGCTCCCTTCTTCTGAGTTTGAACCACTATAGTTTATCTT